GAATGATGTATGTGGAGCGAGAAAAACTCAGAAACATATTCAGTCTAGATGGGAATTGAGCCCTCGACCTTCCATGGGATATATATATAAACAGCCTCAGTTGTTCTGAAGTTAATAGACAGTTGACTGGGACAGTCACTTTTGAAAGTGATTTTTTGAAACCTAACGAACACATGGTTCCACAAAGTCGTGGAATTCACAGACGTTTTTATGATGGGGGCACAAACTTAACCCCCACTATACAGTCAACTGTCTGTAAAATTTCAACGCAACCTTGAGGAGCAATATCTTCGCTTGCTTTGGACGTATCAACTTTAAACTTGGTAAGTTTCCTTACTTTAAAGTGTTCTTTCCAGCAGCGTTGATAGATATTCACTTACTGGTCTTAATCAAACGCGGAAATGTCTACCAAAGTTGGCGCAACCCACGACTTACCCGTCTTTGAAATAACGAACGAATCCAAAGGCAATGAACTTGAACACCACCTCCAGCACAAAAATGCCGGTGAAAAGGTAATTTGAAGTCTCGACGAATAAAACAAAAGTCTGCAAAAGTTAATTAAATAATCTATTGTTCATTTGAATTCCAGGACCAGTTTCGTGCCACTTCCTTCCAGTATTGAAAAGTTCAACCTCATTTTGTGGGAGGTTTATGGGGAATGAAGCGTGCCCAAAAAAAGCAAAAAAAAAAACCAAGCAAAAAGAGCTAATAACGAAGTCAAAAAGTTTGTGTGAGCATTAAGTAAAGGGGAAAAATAATAGCATGAATTAAATCGGCTACCAAGTTTCCTAAAACCCCTATTGACTAAAAAAATTAGCCAATATTTATCACACGCCCAGAAACTAAAACATGAATCGCAATGGACTCAGGAATGAGGTTTTAGCCTCAATTTTGTATTTTTCCTCATTACCTGTGACATCTGATAATGCTCCAAAGACATGCAGATTACATTCAGGCAAATCACCATGGCAAAAACGACATCCCAATACATGTGAAGACACATGTCATGAACACGCCGCCGCCATTTACTGTAAGATTGGTAATACGTTCGGTCTACCTCTGGAAGAAAAACATGAAGATGTAATTAATGAGAGTTCTTTAATTTCTTTTGTATTTATTTTTGCTGTTATTCTTGTTTTTCTTTTGTTGTTGTTGTTGTGGTTGTTGTTGTTGTTGTTTTTTTGTTTGTTTTTTTTGGGGGGGGGTTGTTAAGTAGTTGCTTGCTGTCCCAAAGGCAATTATAATTTTTTACTTTCTGGTGAGTGTAAATAAATATACTACGCTGATTAAATCAGGGATGATTAGAAAAAGAGAAAGAATGTTTGTACATAGTGTTACAAAAAATCTTCCTAGGTGTTATCTTGCGATATGATGCAACGTGCATACCAACTAAGCTTCCATAGACTCCCCTTCTGGCGGACGAAATAAATCTGACTTACAGACAGGCCAAATAGCATATGAAATTATTCCTAAAGGTTGGAATTGTAGGCGCAGCAGTACAAGCGCAAAAGGAAGGTAATATCCACCTTGTCGATTCTTGCTTCTTGCCTTGTTCAGCATCTTTCTTCGTCTTCTCTGCTTTTCTTCGTCCTCGATTCTTTCTCCACAGCGTTGAAAATTTCCTACTACCACACCCACGATCATATTTAGCACAAGGAAGCCACCCAGCATAAGAAAAGGAATGAAATACGCAAGTCGCCATTCAGCGTAGTTCTTTACAGGTTATCAAAGAAAAGATTGAAGTAAATAGTTAATGCTCAAATTCGAGAGTGTAAAAGCTGCTAGTGAAGGTGCTCTTAATGTTGAACTGAATCAACTCTTGAGCTATGACTAGTATGCCTTTAATGTCTCAGTCTTAAGCAACAGGAAAACATGATATGTCTTGACAACTTAGAAAAAAAAAATCTCCGTTCGACATTTTCGTTTAAAAACTACAAGGAAAGACACCAACCTGTTGACCGACTCCCACAGCATCAATTCCATTGTGCATAATTTCCACCCATCCGTCACGTGTGGAGAACACAAATAATGAAATAAGAGCCTGGGAATGATGGTGAAAAAATATGATAAATTTTTAATTGAATTTGCAAATTACATTTCTATATCCTTTATTCCCAAAGTCAGTTGCTCACGTAGAAAGCTCTTATCGATATGGAAGGTAACTTCAGCACGACTAATTATATATCTGTTCTACATCAGACAGAATAAGAATCGATCTTATTTTTAAGTTATTTGTAGTTACGTTACAGCTCGTTACAGTCGACATTTTGTACCTCAACGTTCCTTACAATTTCTTGGCAGACGCAGATAGCCAAAACGCTAACCGACGAGGCGTACCAATTAAAGCTATTACAAACAGATTTCACTGAAAATAATTAGTTTTTCAATATTAAATTCTTTTGATGTACATATTGTTTTTTTAAGGATGATCTTGTGTTATAAGCGTAGATGCTGTCTGCTGGAACAAATTTACGATTTGTGAGGGCGCACTATTGATATGAATCTCATGCATTGAGAACACGTACTTAAAATAGAGACGGCTAATTGGAAGGATATTTGCATCGATAAAAGAGGTATGTATGATCATTCCTATTGGCAAAGTACATGAAAGACCGTAGAGCAAGACATGCAGGTACATAATGAGCATATACCTATACAGATAGATGACTTAAGGAATCACCACATCATGGACCACCCTGTACAGTTACTAGGAAAGCCACCGATAATCAAACTTTCGTTCAAATTAAACAATTATATCACACCTAAAGAATTCATATTTACCTGGGGTAAGTTGTCAAAATTGTACATATGATTTTCCCAGTGACCGTTACTACTCTTCAAACACTCGTCCTTGTTTTTAACGAGGCTGTTTCCTTCACAATAATGAAAGGTGCCCTTGAAAATCTGAAAGGTTGAGCCAGTTACACTTTAATGTCAACAAAAGGCAAATTATCCTCTGTATTCTGATTTGGCTAACACTGTTCTATCCACATGGAGCGTAATTAGAGATCGCGAATTCAAGATAGGGTTTGTTTGGTATTATGAAGTAACGGTACGTTACACTCGGTAGCATAGCAAGAGGACCATCATACTTAGACAACTGTCAAAGCTAATTATTATTCTCAAAAATATTTATCTCAGGAATTTATTTATGGGGGCAGTGAAAGGGTATTTTGACTGAAATCTTTAAGAATATCGCTGTAAGCACATACGAAACTTGGTGCCCTGTCCCAAATATTTAAGCTCATAAGTATCTGTATGACTGCATCAAGGCGGAATATGCTCTCCGTCTAGGCCTTTGTACATTGTGCTGTTGTTTTTCCACTAAAATGCTCCACCTTAAGGCTCCATTTTCCCCCCTAAAATGCAAGGTCGTCCTCAAAAAAAAAGTCACTAAAATGCTCAATAATGCTCGTCATAGAGAGGCCTTTTTTTATTAATTCTAAACTGTTTTAAGGGGGTTAAGACTAACAAAAATGTATAAATGGTATGACAACAATTTATGCAAATAAATAGTTTCAATACAGCAAAAAAGATCATCCACATAGCTTTATGCCGTTGTAAAGAGGTTTAAACAATATTCAATGTATGGACTGTCCCCCTCCTGGATAAAAAGAAGTTGTACAGAGGTGACCGTCATTGAAGGTTCGACTGTATTCACATTGCACATACATTTAAGCCTACAAGTAGAAACATGGCGTACTTTTCTGTGAAAAATGGTTGCAGTAAATTACTGTTTAACTTTGTAGAAAATGCCCCCTAAACGTTAAATTAGAGTTTAATCCGGTATTAACAAGTAGTGGAAATTTAAAGAAGAAAAAACTTACCTGTACTCCAAGTATTGCAAACATAACGAAGAAAATAGCTGCTATCAGAACAGTGTTTCCAATCGGCTTCAGGGAGTACAACAGAGTCTGAACGACCAACTTTAAACCTTGGGCACGGCGAATCATCCTACATTGATAAAGATTATGTTAATGGCTGCAAGGGAGTTGTGACACCAATAAATTTTATTCAAAACTAATTTTAAAAGAGGGCCAAGAAGTAGATTTGAATCCATAAAAATCTGACATGACGACGTCATGACAGACTAGCGTTTTTCCGAATCAAACTTGGTTTACGCGTTTAAGTCTAAGTGTCTCCGATTAGTGCACCACTCATGGTGAGCTGCTGGCGTCTGACATGTTAATAAAGTTCTTATTGATTGATTAACTGACTGACTGACTGATTGGTTGCTGATCGACTGATTGATTGATTGATTGATTGATTGATTGACGCGCTTCATTTGAGCGTCAATGTATTTAGCACGAAAATACTAATTAGGGACACTATTTTTTACGCCTCCTACAGGAGACGGGACCACCATTTTACGTGATCATTCGAGCCACGCGAAGGTCCAGCATCTTGCAGTGCAAGGGAAGTACCTTCATTTCTCAGTTTTAAGACCCTGAGTAATGGTCCGGCCCCGGGAATCGAACACACGACCTCCCACTCCGAAGTCACGTGCTCTGCCGACTGAGCTAATCCTGCAGCGGATTGATTGATTGATTGATTGACGCTTAAAGTAAACAAAAGAGTCGGTTGGCAGACCTACCTCAACGGTCTAAGGGTTCTCAATGCTCGAAAGACTTTCAAGGCTCCAAGCACTTCCGGAGCAGAAGCAGTGCTGTAGGTAATGATGACCTCAATCCAGGAGACCAACACAAGGCTCCCATCCAGAACATTCCATCCGTCCTTCAAGTAAGATCCAGGACCAATAACAAGACCATGAGCGACAATCTGTAATGAACAGTCATGATCACTTGTGAGTGGTAATCTCTACCATCACTGTATGAAGTGCTCTATAGGCTTCCTTTTTTCTTATCTTTACAACTCATTTTTCCTTGGAATTCATAAGGTGCTCTGTTTGTAAAGATATACCGGTTTTCAAATTTTTACCCAGGCGATCATTTCATCTAGTACATATCAAGTAAAGGAAGGACGCTTTCTTATGCTTGTGTTCTTCTTTCTCATTATTTTGGCCTTCTTCCTTGTGATTGCGAGTGGCAATACCGAAAGCGTCATTCGTGACGTTAATTTATTCATATAAGCCTTTTATGCTTCTTTCAAAGCTCAAAAAGTCAACTATAAAAAAAGTTTTCAGCCTTTATTCATGTTGCATATTTTGGCCACTTAAGAGTAGCCAAAATATAAGCTATTGATAAGAATGGATAATTCGCGTATATAAAGGCTACGAAAGAAGCATTAAAGAAACAATGGGATTTTCTGGGCTCAGCGTCAAAGCAGAAAGATCAAAACTGAAATGTTTTTTAGCTGCAAGAGCCGAAATCCGTGCATGAAATCATCGAGCGCAATAAATATTAAACTGAAAAAATAATAGAGGCATACATGACTTAATGTAGGTTATTGAGCAAGTTATATGGACCTTGAGCTACCTTGCGAAAGAGGAAACCTTACGTCACAGTGTTCTAAGTTCTTACTGAATCATCCTCTGCTTAAAGTATTGTGCATGGCTTTAGTTTCGGTATACCATAGTGGAGGTCAAACACAGCAGTTCATTACTAATGGCGAAATCGAAACAACTCATTTAGTAAGAAAGATTTACCTTCATAGTCATTTCAACACTGAAAATTCCGGTCAGCACAACCATCGCGATGTCAATTATTTGGCGTTTCTGTGAATATAAAAGAAGCCAAAAAAAGCTGAGCTTTGCGATTAAAGCTATGACTAGCTTAAGTCTGCCGCGAACTTAAGGCAAAATTCACCGACCTCATCAGTTCATTTTTTAACTAATTTTGGTGTCATAGATATGATTTAACACGTTCACACAAACAAGAGGTTGAGACGTGATCATTTTTGCTATAAAATGATTCATGCGCAAAAAAGCCAGGAATTATATTATAGGGACATGTGAACTAGACGACTTCTGAAAGTAAATTGAGATATATATAGAGGATATTACACGGTGGCGAGAAGATATGAATTTTATGTTCGAGTGGCAATAACAATATCTCACGAGTGAGCGAAGCGAACGAGTGAGATATTGTTCTTGCCACGAGAACATAAAATTCATATCTTCGAGCCAACGTGTAATATTCTTTTTATTATATGGAGAAACCAATTCAACAAAAGCAAAAGGCGGGAATCGTGACGTCATTGAACGATACGACACTCACAAAGGTGACATACGGAAAATATGCCACTCGGGTCCCGGATGAAGTGGCGTATGGAACCTACGAGTGGTTTAGTTCCCAGTAAAACACTCTCCTCCATATAATAAATATATATATCTACCTTTGGATGCATGTTCGGCTCTTCTAGTGCCAGGACCACGCAGCTTGTTAGAATAAATAACAGAACCACGTAGTCAAAGTATTTGTGTTCAGAGACTGCAATCAGAAAACGACGAAACCTGGCAGAAAAATTGAGACAGTAGCAAATCAAATCTTTGAAGCCATGATAAAAAAGCTGTTCGATAATACTAAAAAATTTGTATAATTCAACGATCTACTGTCACCCGGTAGGCACTGGTCTACCGAGAGGGAGGCCGCGGGTTTAAAACCCGGTCGGACCACCACTTAAGGTAAGTAACTGAAAGTGTTTATTTTGTAATGACATCTTCAAACGGGTAGAGTTCTAATCTTCTGACCACCTAGACAATAAATCGTAGGCCCCGCATCACATCCCTTGCTCATGCTAAAATCTGTTCGTGAAGAGTAGGAGGTGTAGACCGCGGTGGGTGGTCTATCTTCTCTGTCTGTGTATATCTAGCCGGATTTTTGATAACGTTACCGCTAAATGGGCCGTTTGCGGCTGACAGTTTTTTTTGGCCAAAATCTCCAAAGTAGCCATTATAAAAACTAAGAGTGCAACAACTGCTTTTTTCTCTTCTCCTCCTTTCTTCCTCCTCAATCTTTCTTTTCCACCTTTCCTTTTCCTTCGTTAGTGTGATTTTGGAGCTTATTAAGCCCAAAAACTGCCTTTTGAGGACTTTTCATTCAGATAACTGCAAATTTTATGTACAACCTACTTTATCAAATGATAATGATCTTGATGATGATGATGATGATGAGATGGTTTTTTTCAGTCAGTGACACAGGTGGCTCCGAAGAAAAAATCTGAGTACTTCTAACAGGAGTTAAACCTATGACCTTCTGGTTACTATTCCAGATGATGATAATAATGATGAAATCTTCTCGACATAATATTGGAAGAGGGTATTTAACGATGAATTTTCTTTTTCATCGAGATATTAGTAAACATGTTACTCTGTGACCAATTCGCAAGTGAACATTCTTTCCAGAATAGAACATTTTTTTACGCAATCGTACCTGCAAGAGGCTGGAAAAAGATGCAGAGACCAATCCCTTCGTTGTTGACCATCACCTGGGTCTTTTTTCCTGTTCGGCTTTGAATATAGAAAATATATTACATTTTACATTTTAGTTACATTTTTAGAAAAATGAAAGCTGCTTATCATACATGTACGAGATTTCCGAATATATGGCTGATTTTTATTACCCACACAATAAACCAGACATTCTCTTGGGAAATTTTATTCCGATATCAATCAAACCTTGACTGTGTACTTTAATCAGTTACGCATAGCATACCCTTATCAAATGCCGGTACTAATTAAGGAATTGCCTCCCCCCACCCCCCAGCCCATAGCCGTTCGAATTCTGCTCAGGGTAGGCGAGGAATCTGTTTTGACATGCCATTGTCAAACATCGCTCTTTTAACTTAGCATTACCTTACTTTCAGGAGCGTAGCTTTGACGCTGTTGATAAATATCATCATCCCTAAGGGTGTTGTGGAAACCCGTTTGGTTTGACTGTATTCCAGTGGGAGATGGCGACGTCCCTGACTTGCGCAGACGTTCAGTCGTGTCGATACCCTCACTTATGCTTGTTTTAATAACGGATGAATCAGCAATTTCTGGCTTTAGTTCAAGTGTTCTCATTGACAAATTCTCCTCATTTGCTTTCCTTTCACAAATGTCAAGATCCATCTCTAAATTATCGTTCATTTCAAAGCCCGAATTATTGGCGGAGATTTCGTGATCCGCTATCCTTTGGTTCGTGTGTCCTGTTCGTCTGATGATCGACATCGAGGCCTGTCGCATTCGCTTCAACTGTGGTAATGTCATCGAGGTGTCTTGTAGTTGATAGGACAAATCATCGACTCGCTTTTTGTTTGTACCTTTCTTGGGTTCCTGATTTACTATGGCTAGATTAAGCGCAAAGTTGGACTTCAACTGAAATGTTGTTCCTACAAGAAGAGATATTTAAGGCAAATGAAACTTAACCTTTAGTTGAAGACTGAGTATAATATTAATTTTTGTTTGGTTCTTTACGTTTCTTTGTTTTCTAATAAGGGGGGGGGGGGTCTTGAATTTATTTAACAAGGTTTACTCTATAGTTTATTTTGTACAGCGGTAAACGGTTCCTGTGGTGAAAGGGAACCCATCTTAGTTTGCTGCTTACATAT